GGAGGGATAGGTTAGGGTAGATTAAAGGGGGAGGGTTTACTGCCTAGGCTGTTGATAACCACAAAACGGCCAAAATTGTCGAAACCGTCGATACCTCTGAGTGGCCACTTGGACCCTCCGATCTGTCAGTCTCGCCAATATGTACTAGTCCGTGGGGGTGCCATGGTCGAGCCTGGGTACAGCTAGCATGTTTCCTGTCACTATGGAACCCGTACGAGAGTCCACACAGAGCGAACTTAAACTACGGTAGGGCCCATCTCGGGGGGGATAATCCTACACACACTCTGGGTGTTAGTATGGGGTAGGTACTGGGTACTTCTCATCCCACAGGTATCTCACGATGCCTGCGGGTGGTGCTTCATCCAGGTTGGGGTCCGTGGGAATTCTCCTTGGGGAAATTAGTCGGGACTGTGGATTCTTGGGGAGCCTGGGGTAGGAAGGCATCATGCTTATTAGGATAGGAGAGGGCGGGATATCGCATCTTAGTGGAAGCGCAGTTCGCTGCCCATAGAGTCTGGGGGATGAGGCACAGATGGGTGCTGAGTCTGCTGACTGCATATGCGTGGACCCCACCCGTGCCCGGGTTGTCCGTAACATTAGAGTTATGGGAGGGTAGTGTCTGCACGAATACGTCCGGGTTAGTAAGGTAAGTGTTGGCGCATATCACGACTTGCGATCTGATTAGCATTAGCATAAGCATAGGTCCTGGTACCATCATGGTGCGATCCTGAAGGGACTCCCCCTGGGCCCTGGGTCCTTGCAATCCGTCTGACCTACCAATGGATCAGTACTATGGGCACCTCCTGAGGCCTGGCCACACCCTCTACTACACCTTGGACCAAAAAGTGAAAAAAAAGTAAAAAAACAGTAAAAAAAAAAGTTAAAAAAAAGTTAAAAAAAGTTAAAAGAAAGTAAAAAAAACTTAAAAAAGGTAAAAAAAAGTAAAAAAAGAGAAGTAAGAAAAAAAAAACACGAAGGGTACACACTGCACACTGCACAGTGAAAAGTTTTCCGCTTTTTTTTTAATATCTGCAAAACTCAGAACCCCGCGCTATTTCCCCCTCCGTCGATGGCGTGCAGCCATCTAAATCTGTCACGCGTGACGGAAAAAAAGTGTGCCGGCACGGTTTAAATAGGCGCTAGTGGGAGGAGGCCCCAAGGGGGACGGTCCCACTAGCAAAGAGGGTTGGATTGATCTCCTGGATCTGGAGGTGTTTGTGGAAAGGTGCAGAAAATCGAGATTGAACTGCTTGTGTGCATTTCTGCTTAAAACACGTCCAGATTCAGGAGCTTAATCCAATCCTCTTTGATAGTGGGATCTCACCCCAGCAGACAGAAAAAAAAGGCAGGCAGGTAGAGGGAGGCCAGGATGATGCTCAGAAAAAATAAAAAAATAAAAAATAAAAAAAGATAACGGCAGTTGCAGTGTGACTGCAGTGCGAGGAAAATGTGCGAAAATTGTCAGAACAGCGAGACCATGTCTCATCCAAAATGTGATGCCAGTGTGACTCGGCCGAGGGGCAAATTTGCAAATCATCTTTTTTGAGATCGTGAAGACTGTATTTTTTGTGGAAAAAAAGGTCCTAGTGTGAGGATGCTCTTAGAGTATACCCACATTAGGAGGCCCTCAAAATCACAGAATCGCAAAATGAGCGGCCAGATCAAGTCCTCCCGTTTAGAAGGACTCGATATGGCCGCTCATTTTGCAACTCTGCGACGTCCTAGTGCAAGTATGCCCATAGTGTAGTTATGTGCTTGTGTCTAGTGCGTTTATGTGCTTGCTTTTTTAGTAGATTTATGCGCTCATTAATTAGTGTATCTAATATTTATGCGCTTGTTAATTAATAATTAATGTATTTACTATTTAATATTTATGCACTTGTTCATTAGTGTATTTATGCGCTTGTTAATTAGTGCATTTATGGTGCTTGTTCATTAGTGTATTTATGCGCTTTCGCCGCTTTGTTAATTACCATAATTATGTTCTTATTCTAGTCTATTAAAAGGGCCTTTACCCGATATAGGCCTCAGGCCTTGTAAAAATAAAGCAGCACGGGCCTTGAAAAAGTAAAGCATTGTGAAAAGGTATCTCGCCAGAGCTCAGAAACGTGAAAGCAGGTCAAAGGTCAAGTTCTCTGTTAACAGGCATATCTAAAGCTAAGGCAAAGGGCATTGTCAAAAGACTTACCTGTTCACCAGGAGATGTGTATGTCATGTCTGTTTGGGTAAGAGTGTGTCTGTACGTGCAGGCAGTGTACCTGTTCGTGCAAAGTAAAGTGTCTGTTCAAGCAGTAAATGTGTCTGTTCGTTGAGAGTTGTGCCTGTCCGAAAATAAAGTCAATAGGCACAGTCCCAGTCTCTTATACACATCTAGATGTGTATAAGAGACAGCTACTGGGACACATGCAATGCAGGGTCTGGGACAAAAGGAAGGCTGGTTTGAGCCAATGCAGACCCAGCAAGGAGTATAAAAGAGGCAGCCAGCCTCATTCCTTGCCAGATCTCAACTGGCATTCTATGCGTGGAAGTGCTGGTGCACTTGTGCGTTGAGCCAGTAGGAGCAGCGCTGGAAGGAGAAGATGCGCTGAGTGAAGGGAGAAGCCTGTATGCTGGAAGTGATGCAGCCATAGCTTCCCAGCAAGTTAGCATTAGTAGTAGTGGGTTAGTATGTAGCTATGAGTAGTATCCAGAGTACATCCTCATAAGTGAAGAGTGTGTATGCATCGTAGGAGGAAGGGACTGAGGCTGAAAGTGTTCATTCAAGGTTCGGCTATGGAAGATACTTACCTGGGTTAGATGTGACCTGCAGAGGTGGCGCTGAAGAAGTAGTGACCACATTGACGACTTGGAGATTGTCTGCAGATGTAGCGCTGATACATTGGAAGCCATATTGATGAGTTGATAAGAGATTGGTGTTGGGCTGATGAGCGCTGGACTCAGGGGAACTTTGAAACACTTTGTATTCATATTTCTGATAATATAAGTTGTGAAATTCGGTCCTCTTCTTCTCTACCTTTGTCTATGGTTGATACTATTGATCACTGCGTGTGAAGTTGATGCATGACATGTACACATTTGCGTGAGATGGTCCCTAGGACCCATGCACTATTTAAGGAACTAATAATTTAATACTATTTGTGTGCTCATCCACCCACAGATTCTGCTGCTAACTGAATAATAAATATTAAATTATTTAAATATACATTGAGTTCAGAATCCTCCTTTGAAGTCCTTTGGGACATCCGTTAAAATTGGAACCATACAGAGAAGATTAGCATGGCCCCTGCGCTTTCAAGGATGACACGCATAAATGGAGGAATGGTCCAAATAATAAAAAAAAAAAAAAAAAAAAAAAAAAAAAAACAGAATCCTCCTTTGGGTGTTTCTACACAGGTGTCCGTAGAGAAGAAGAAGCTGGTACCCAAAAAAAAAACAAAGGAAAAAAGTTCAAAAAACTTTGAAAAGGTTTATTTCATCAATCAGCTTGCTTCTGCTTGTGATTGGTTAAAATGTCCTGCCTTGTGCATTTTTACAGGGAGTAGACCCTTCATCAGAAGTCTTCAATAGAGTGCATATGAGGTCTGCTTCATGCTTCTCCCTACCTCCCTCCTTCCCTTCCCTTCCCCTCTCTCTCTCTCTCTCTCTCTCTCTCTCTCTCTCTCTCTCTCTCTCTCTCTCTCTCTTTTCCTACCATACTTCGGGAGGGAAGCTGCAGTGGGTTTTGGGAGAGTGGAAGCCCCTTGACTTGAGAAGTGCTGGTGAGCAATCAGGTGAAAGTTCTGAAAGACTGAAACGCATTGGGTGAATGTGCGCGTTTGGAGCTTCGGCTATTTACATGCAGGTGTGATATTGGCAATCTGTTCATGCATGGACTTGTGGCGATTGGCCTCGCTATATTCAATTCTATTCAATGCTATTCAATTCAATTCAATTCTTCTTCTTCTTCTTCTTCTTCTTCTTCTTCTTCTTCTTCTTCTTCTTCTTCTTTCTTCTTCTTCTTCTTTCTTCTTCTTCTTCTTCTTCCTCTTCTCCGTCTGTGCTTCTTCTTCTTCTCCTTTTTCCTCCTCCTCCTCCTCTTGCTCTCTGTCCTGGCCTCTCCCCCCGCCCCCAACGCATTCGCACTCACACACTCGAGTGAATATGACAACGCACACACTCTCACAGACCATTCCTGGATGCAACTCCTCCTCCTGTCTTGATTCTTTGTCTTATCTTGCCTCGATCCTGATTCTGCTCCTTGATCTTACCTAACATTCTTTTCCCTTTTCTCAAGTTTTCTGTCTGTTTCTTTCTCGTTGTGCCTGTTGCTTCACCAGTTGCTGTCATGTTCATTCTCCTTGCTTCTCTGCTGCACTCTTTCTCTCACCTCCTTTCTCCTTTATAATATGCCTCTGCTCACCCCCTCATTGCTCCTCCTCTGTTCTGCCTTCCTCCGCCTTTCATTGGGTCCTTTATAATATGCCGAAAACTGAACTCTCTGCCAATTTTCTTGAACTACCTTCCTCTTCCTCTTCCTCTTCCTCTTCCTCTTCCTCTTCCTCTTCCTCTTCCTCTCGTCTTCCTTTGCTTTGCTTTCCTATGGTTTGATAATAATCACTCAAGACCTCTCGTCCAAACTTTGGTATTTGCCTTTCCTATTAAAAAGAAGAAAATTGTGTTGCCTGGGAAAGTTTGGAAGAGAAGGTAGTTCACTTCCGAGACCTTCTCTTTGAAACTCTGGTACGCGTGAACTGACCTTGCCTTGCCTTGCCTTGCCTTGGCTTCCCTTGCCTTGCCTTGCCTTGAAATGCACACTGGCTCATGTGTTTGTTGAACTTTGTTTCGATGTTTGGAAGCGAGGCTTGGCGTTCTTTGTTTCGCATTTAAAAGAAAACCACCACTACTTTTTACAACCGCCGGGCGTTCCCAGGAGGCCTGCTCTTTTTCATGCTCTGCTGATTGCATTGATTGTCCAACGGTCGCATATCGTTTTTCTTTTTTTTTGTGTGTGTGTCTGCATGAGTTGGTTGGCGTGACTCTTCAGGAGGTACTTGCGGATTAACCATGCAATGATTTAATGATTTAATGATTTAATGATTTATCAGATTTATCAGATTTAATGATGGGGTAACTACGAGGGAGTCACAAAAAAAAAGAGTTATAGTATGGGCCAAGATACAGTTTGCAATTGCACTTCGGGCACCCCACCTGGACAGAAAGATGGGTTGTATACATTGCCCGAACTGCAATTGCAAACTGTATCTTCGCCCATACTGCAATTATAACTCTTTTTTTTGTGGCTCTTACGTAGTTTCCCCTTTAATGATTGAATGATGATTGAATGTTGATTGAATGATTTAAACCGCAAGTACACCGCCCGCGAGAACTTCTGAAAAGTGCCACCGGATGAACAGTGCCACCGGACCAAAATGGCTGCACTGGCGCTTTGGCATTGCCAGCCGAAAGTAAAAAAAAAATGGCCGCACTGGCGCGATTCAGCAAAGCTTGGCACGCAGGGGGAATCAGGGTCGGCAAAAAGAGGCTCGGGCGTACTGGCAGGCGGTTTAAGACAATTAATAACTGCCCGAACCTGCCTGTGTGCGTCATACTCTTTAGAGTCTTTATCTTTTGTCATTCTGTTTCTTGTGCTTTGCTCAAAACCTTCTTTATCACATTATTAGTATTTATTACCAGTTTCTTTTCTTTTTGGATTTGAGAATCGAAGTCGTCGAATCGGTCAACGGGGATTGGGGGGGGAGACGGGGGGTGGGGGGTAAGGAGGGGATGAAAAAAGGTATGCCTCATTGGATTCACAGAGCACGGAAAGACAAAGTTTCTGAGCCCCCAACCCCAACCCCTGCTCCTGTGGTAAATATCAAATAAACCCTTCCTCGCCCCAAACCCTTCCCCACTCCGCAAACCGTAGACCACCCCAACCCCCAAAACCGACTACTCCAAAGAGTCCAAACCCTAAACCACCCCCCACCCCACCCTGATGCCCAAACCACCCCACGCTAACCTCTGGAGTCTGAACCACCCTAAACCCAAAATCACCCCAAATTCTAACCCCCCCGGGCCCACCCCAAATGATACACCACCCCAAATGCTATCCCCCCAAATCCGTACCCACCCCAAATCCTAAGCCACCCCAAACCCTAAACCCTAGTTTGTTTCATAAGAATCGTTTTACCAGTCCTGGAGACTGCCTTCCTCCCACGAACATAATGCTCCAGCACCGTCATGAATGTATACAATCCCTATTCCAGTCTTAATACGTACAGTTGTGATGTGATCATGGAGTGCTATATTAGGGGGACTAAGGTGGCATGCCTGACCATTCCCAGGGAGGGCATACAACTAGGGTTTAGGGTTTTAGGGTGTTAGGGTCTGGAGTGGGTAATGGTCTGGATACTGGACTCCGATTTCAACGCTGGGGCGAAGATTCAGCTACCGTCTTTCCTGAAATGGAATATACAGTCGTTATCGTTGTATCTGGACTGAATGTTGCCCCCGATACGGCTATAATGTAACGAGTCTAATGACTATGTTCTATAAACTTCTATTCTGTTGGGGGGAAGATGGAAGCTTTTGGTTTACATAGCTCACATTGACCCCTGTGTGTGACTGTGTGTGACTGTGTGTGACATTCCCAAACATGTGTACGGACTCCCGGAAAAAGGAGGGGATTTTTTTTTTTTTCTTTTTTTNCCCCCCCCCCCAACAAACCAATGCTCCTTTCTATTCGTGCGGAGCTGCACGAGTTGGGAAACGGGCCCAACGTCCCTTATAATTCAATCTGAGGCCGGTGTCCTCTCAGTCGATCCGGATTGAGCCAACCGAATTCCGGGAGCATTACCCAGTTTCGCTTCATAGGGTCACGATGATCTTGGGGACCAACCCCCCAACTGAGATGCAAGCAAACCAAATTGAGAGACATGGGCTCTTTGTGCTTTCAGCCCACTTGGGATCGAAATAAAAAGGAAAAAAACTTTAAAAAAGTTAAAAAAACGTTTTTGATACGGCAGCAGTATCTGACATCTGACCTGTGGGACAACAACAAAGCACAGGTCAGATGAGAGATACTGCTGCCTCTCATCTGACCTCTAAAACGTTTTTTGATACGGCAGCAGTATCTCTCATCTGACCTCTAAGTAAAAAAAAAAAAAAACGTTTTTGATACGGCGGCAGTATCTCTCATCTGACCTCTAAGTAAAAAAGAAAAAAACGTTTTTGATACGGCAGCAGTATGTCTCATCTGTAAAAAAAAAAAAATTGTTTTTGATACGGCAGCAGTATCTCTCATCTGCCCTAAACAAAAAAAAAAACGTTTTTTGATGCCGCAGCAGTGTCCCTCATCTGACCTTAAGTAAAAAAAAAAAAACGTTTTTGATACGGCAGCAGTCTCAGAGGTCATGATTGACAAGACAGCACGTACCTGACCTCTGAGTAACCCGTGCGTACGTCGGTGCTCTTTTTTTTCCCCCGGAAAGGGAAGAAATCGACTATGTGCCATGAGCTCCGTTCTGAGACTATTTGGGGAAAAAAAACGCCTGGAGTGGAGACCATTCAAAATTGGCAGGAAGTGACGAATGCACCAGCATCACCATTGTTAAGGATTTTGCTTTTCTTTGAACGTTGGAAGTTCAAATTCTTTTCCCTGTTTTCTTTTTTTCCATTAACAGCTTCTTCTTCTTCTTCTTCTTCTTCTTCTTCTTCTTCTTCTTCTTCCTCCTCCTCCTCCTCCTCCTCCTCCTCTTCCTCTGATTCTCATTCTGATTCTGATGATGTTGATGATGATGATGATGATTCCCGCTGTCTTAACAACACCAGTTACCGACTGTCTGGAGTCGTTTTTTTTTTTGTTTTTTTCCTTAGAGTATTCGTAGAGTGGGACCAAGTGTCTGAAATCGTCCGCAGGTACACGGGTCCTGTCTCCCTAAATTATAGTAGCACATAAATTATTACAAACTTACAAAAGTATATATATATAAAGCTTAGATAAACTTAATAAATGAAGTTAGAACTTAGAAATGCTGAAACCCTTGTCTTCCCCTCGTTTGTGAAATCAGGTATTTGGTCGATGACAAGGAACTCAGGAAATACTTGGCATGCCTACATCTGCTTCCCAACTCACAGTTACCGACTGCTCTAGTGATCGACAATTTTTCGGCGTTCTTTGATCAGAGCAGGTGTGTTCCCAATCAGCAATCTTTTTCTCCCAGCATTCCTCACGCATTCCCTGCACCTCCTATCGCTTTCTCTTCTCTCCTCCCACCTCCCCGCTCCCCGCCCCCCGCCTCCCGTCTCCCTGCGCCACTCTTTCCCCTTGGCTCCACTCCCTGCTGGCCCCGTTTATCGGAATTTCTGAAGTTGTATCCTGTCTAAGTCTACCCATCACCCCACCATTGCTGAAGGTTCTTCTTCGAATCTTCATACTCAGACTGAGACAAAGATTTTCCTGCATGAATCTGCCCTGATTTATGGCCAGATTCCGTAAAAGAAATGTCCTGCTGTGCTGTCAGTATTAGGAATCGCCCTTGGAATTTCTGAATTTGTATCCTCTCTAAGTCTACCCATCACCCCACCATTTTGCTGAAGGTTCTTCATACTGAGACTAAGACAGATTTTCCCGCATGAATCTGCCCTAATGTGTGGCCAGATTCGGTGAAAGAAATGTCCTGCTGTCAGTATTAGGAATCCCCCTTCGTTCCCCACATGGCATGGAGGTTCATACTGAAAGAAGGATGTTTTTAACTTTTTTTTTTTTTTTTTTTTTTTTTTACTGAATATGGTGCAGTAACCGTGTTCAGAAGTAGTCTGGGGCCCAGAACTCAGCCCCAGGCGACGCAGACCAAAGTTGGTCTGCGCTGGGCTGTGTGAACAGGACACGCCCAGGCCTGAGTCTGTCGCGTTTGGCTGTGTGACCAAACGCTGCACCCAGGAAAGTCAAGGATCAAAGTCAACTGTAGAGTCAAAGGTACCACGCCCAGGCCCTTGGTTGGATACACTCACTTGTTGTGCGCAGGTACCCAGACAAGCATCCAGGCCGAAGGGAATTCAGTTTCAGGCCAATCTGGGCCTTCGTTTGCATCAAGATCTGGACAGCTAAAGGTTGCAGCATCCGGGGTCCAGACCCCGAGTCAACGCTACTTAAGCGTTGACCCCCCTGGCTTTGGCATTGATTCTGTCTTGCGTTGATGCTGACTTCACGCGTTGACTTCAACGCTGGCTCGACGCTGCGACGCTGGCATTGTGATTCGACGAGGCGCTGCTGGTTCGGCATGGTGGCTGTCTTGCGCCTGTCTTCTTGGCATGCTGATGTGGCAGTTGTCATGCGCTGTCGCTGATGTCCCTGCTGCCACGTGTATCATTGGCTGACGTGGCTGCTCCCACGTGTTCTGATGAAGCGAAGCCACATGACTTATATTACTGTTCTGATTATCGTCATTCGGGAGGAGATCGGGACTGTGGAGAGATCGTGGATACGTACCTGGTTGTCTTCATGTCAACATTGCTCCAGCGCTGATGAGGGACTGATTAGACGTGCCACGTGGCACATTGAGGTTACTTCAGATACTCGTTCAGACTATTGATTACTGAGGTGGTGATTGAGGAGGGAGCCCGAAGCAGGAGTGGGCCTTGTATTCATTTCCTCTCCTTTGTCTAATCTCCCTCCTCTCTCCTTCGTCTGTGTATGATTATCTCGTCTCCTTCTGTCTGGACACGATTTTGACTATTGGTAATCATCAGCTGGTTGACATTCATCTGGGCTTGCATTGTTGACGACTGTCTTCACGATCTGGGTTCATTGCAATGGTCATAATTCAGGGCAGATGCATGCAGGGAAGTGGTATGTGTACACGGTAAGTTCTGAGCTTCAGCCTGCCCTGAATCTGGCCTGCCTGTAGCTGCTGCAGGTAGTACAGGCAGGAAAATCTGCTGTTGTTCTGCAGACTGCTGGCAACTTATATCACCAACACACCAGTCTTCCCCCGAGTAGAACGTACGGTCATTATGGCTGTATTTGGGGCAACTTTCAGCCCAGATGCAGTGATGCAGCCATCATGATTCTACGTTCTACTAGGGTGACGGCGCCAGCTTAGTTGGTACACTTATGAACTTTTTTTTTTTTTTTTTTTTTTTTTTTAATAAAGACCTGAGTTCGAATCCGAGTAGAACTAGACGAATTGGGAAAGAAGAAACAAATAATGGCACACTGGACTAATTTCGTTATGTGTTTGTCTGTCTCTGTGATTGGCTGGGACTCGGAATTGATTGGTGGGTGGAGAAGCAGTCATGTGGGGGGTGGGGTCCGATCTGCGCACGGGCGTGCTCAAGATATGGCCATCGCAAGAACGCTTGCGTTATTATGCGATGCTGTCGATTTCGTAAGGTGAGTGCAAATGCATGTTAGGGAAAGGAAAAAGGTATGGAGATAACCACAAGACTCTTTACCTTTTGCCTGAGATCCTCCTCCTGGTGGCATTCTGCATCTGCACGGGCCTGCCGGCCAGGTGCTGATGAATGCATTACTCGGCCACCTGCATCCATGCAGATGCAGAATGCCCACGTGTATCTCAGGCACAAGCTGCGGGAAGTCCAGGTGTATCACGCTCAGTGGGTGCTTTTGCAACAAGCAAGACCTCTGCCCTAGCTTCCTGCCTGCCTGCCTAAGGGGGCATTCTCCACATGGGGGGACCTTCTGAACCGAATCTGGTTGCAATTGCGTTCAAATGCATCCAGGAAAAGTCACAGTGTGAGTATGTCCTAACTGCCTGAGTTCCTGTGCACCCCCTTTGATTCTGAAAGGGATTTCCCCCCCCAGCCTCTCCCTCCCTCCTCCCCGCCCCTCCTCCCCCCCGGTTCGACCTCTTCCTTTTTCCCCTTCTTCTTTCCCTTTCTTCTTTTTTACTTCTTGTTTTTTTTTCAAAGGGCAATGTCCTTGAGATATCTCCATCTTCCAGCTGACTGGTCCCAGGTAATTCACACTTTCTTTTTTTTTTCTTTTTTTTCGTTTTTTTAATTTAATATCATGTGGCTCGATGGACCACGGATCAGATGTTACACTGACCAGAACAGATAGAGTGCACTTGATCTTACTCAGCCAAAAGGCACACTTATATTATTCTGCTCGTCTAGTTCATCGGGACTCGATCTCAGGTCTGCATTTCAACGGTTCATCATGGCTGTACCGACTGAAGAAGACGGCAGCTATGGCTGCCACCACAATCTCCATTTCCCCTTCTTTTTCCCCTTCGAAAGGTCTTGAGAACATATGTGAGAGCCTCTCAGAGGAAGCTGGCAGCTATGGCTGCCACAGTCTGGAGGGCACACAGAAGAAGATGGCAGCTATGGCTGCCACAGTCTGGAGGGTACACAGATTCGTGTGCATTTAATCGACAGAGCCTTGCGTTTCCACTTTCTCTCCTGCATAAGAGAAACTTCCGCGCTCCCTCGGGGAAAGCCGTACCATCCCCCTTGGACGGAAACATGAAGTGCTGGTGCGTGGACTTTCCTACCGGACAATTGGATATATTAGACTCACAGTCGCTGAGAAAAAGCAGTGAGTCTGTGTGCTGTGGTAACTTAACTTACCGCAGTGAATGGGAAAAAGGAACAGCGGTTTAAGACCACTCGCTCCTGGTCACTTGTTCGCGATCATAATATTTTTTTACCATGGTTATCGTGCGGTAAAACACTCGGTGCAATGGTCTGACTCAGAGGTTGCTTACCTCAGCCCACAGTCAATTGGAGATGGTGGTAACCCTCTCCAAAGTCTCCGTCCAATTTTATGTGTTACCACCAACCAGGTAGTTACCAACTTACCACACATCACGTGGATGGTCTACTCTATTGTCTGAGGTTAAAAACCATGCAGGCGGAATTTCCTGCGGTGGACTGTCCATGGTTGCTGTGTGGTAACCCCACACACTCCGGGAATGGTTGGTGACCCTGGTAACCCCACACACTCGGGGTTAACTTACCAGGCTCACCAACCATGCCCGTTACCAACTTACCACACATCACATTTATGGTAAGGTGTCCATGGTTACTGTGTGGTAACCCCACACCGAGCGGGTTAACTTACCAGGCTCACCAACCATGCCGGTTAGTAGCGGTTACCAACTTACCACACGTCACATTTATGGTAAGTTGGTAATCACAAGAGAAAAAGAGAGAGAATAAAAAAACAAGGGAATGTAAGAGTGTCCTTCATGCAGAACAACAACAGGTGTGGCGACCCTGATGCCGAGTTTCGACGGCAACAAGACCGTCAGTGCACTCTCAAGTAGAAAAGCAGAAGCAATTGAAGATCAAACACAGAAGTAGAAAAGATTGACGAAGTACAAAAAAATTGAAAAAATCAATTACTGTTACGACCTGGCCAATTTCGAAGTATACATTGGTCAGAAAGTACAATGCCGTCCAATTGCAAAAAGAAATGAGCGAACTTGAGAGGAGAGAGAGGCAAAGAAGAAGAAGGAAGAAGGAAGAAGGAAGAAGGAAGAAGGAAGAAGAAGATGATGTACTCCAGCATAGACCAAAGATAATGCTCGTCTTCTTCGCCAACCAATCTCCTCGTCCTTATCTCCTCCCCTCTTATTCGAACAAGAAATAACAATAATAATGTTGAATGGCTGAACCAGAATCAATGTCCGAATCCCACTTCTACTGCAGGCACAACACGAGGTCCACCATAGCCATGGCCACCCTTCCTCTTCCTCTTCATGTAGGCCGAGGCTATGGCGGAGCACTGAGGGCTCTACCCTCCTGTCCAAAGGACAACCCAAAGCAGCTATGTCGCTGCCCTCCTGTCCCAAGGTCAACACAGGGCAGCTATGCCGCTGCCCATTCAGCCGCCATGCCTGACTCTGTCCCGAGCTTCCTTGATGCGGCACTACCCCAACTGGGGCCTTCCAGATGCAGCGCCTAACAAGGTGATGAAGATGGTGTCCACCATAGCCAGGTAAGTACCTCGCCACTCTCCTCCTTGGTCCTCTTCTCCCTCCTCCTCCTACCGGTAGTGCTCCACCATAGCCAAGGTGGAAGCTCCCGGTCTTCTTCCTCCCAGCAGCGCCGTAGTAGCCAGCGCTCCTCCAGCCAGCGCTCCAGCAGCGTGTCGCCAAACTTGCACACTGAAGAATGAGGCCGGGCTCTTCCCTCGGCCTCTGGATATAGCGGCCTACTTGCCTCCTGGACGGTGACTTCCAGGCCGCTTGGCCTCCCAAGCAACCGGTACCTCCTCCCTTTCAAAGGGAAACATCATTGCAGACTCTGATATTGCCCGTACAGGCTCTGGACTCAGACTGGATGGACTGGTACCGGCCTAGACCTAGCCTACCACTATTGGGCCTCTAAAAATGCCAACTTTGTCTTCTTCTGCTCGGCCTCGAGTACCTGGCACATCTACTGCTACTGGGTGCGGTACCGGCCTACCTGCTACTTGAGTGTTTTTCCGCTGCTCTAAGTGGTGCGGGCCTCTGACTCCTGCGGGCAGTTGAAGTCCCGCCGTGGTGACCAGGTATAGTAGCCTTGGTGTGCTATGTGAACGGAGTGTGCATGTGTTGCTGAGTCCGCAAGGACACTACAGCCCTGGGGTGGGCTGGATATCACTACCGGTATGGATCCAGTTTTTATAACACCTCCAAGGGTTGTAGTGGTTACGAGACTTCATTCCTGTGGCAGAGGGTGCCGGTTCAAGACCTGATGCCCGTAAATCCTGTTGGAATCCGCTACTTGAGTGTTTTCCCTGCTGCAACCCTCAATATCACGGCCACAGGTAAGTACCGGCCCTACGGGCCTGCCAAACAAGCAAGTACCCTTGCGGGTCACACACACACTCATGCCGACAAGCACTCAGACAGGCACGCAGGTCAACAAGCACGCACACACACACAGACTTAGAAAACTCAGCAGAATGCGGGAATCTCAGCAAGGCATCCATTCCATCGGCAGAACTTCAGAAATCAGCAGTGTTCTCAGTCTGTGTTATGGCGGGTCATTACATTACGTAAGAATGTGCTTCATGGCAGTTCGTGCACAACAACAGGTGCGGCGGCACCGACACCGAGTTTGGACGGCAGCGAAAACTATCTGCTGTAAAACACTCAGGCAAACTCCTGTGGCGTCTGATTATCAATCCAACAGACCAACTGGAAATAGGACAGGCCTCCTGGTAAACAGGTTGGCAACAAAAGGTAGTGGTACTTGTGTGTGTGTGTGTGTGTGGGGGGGGGGGGGGGGGGGGGGGGGAGAGAGAGAGAGAGAGAGAGAGAGAGAGAGAGAGGGAGTGGGGGGGGGGGGGGGGGGGGGGGGGGGGGGGGGTGAGGGGAGGGACTCCTTCCACGTGATCACAATGGTGTGCATGACTTTCTGGATTGGGGAAGGATTGGCAATCGGAGGAGGTTATAAAAACCTACAAAACGATTCAGTGTAACCTGTAATAATGGTCTTCGTTCATTTTTCATTTTCCTTCGGAAGTTTGGAAGAAAAACGAAGCTGGAAAAAAAAAAGAAAAAAAAAGGAGATCAAGAGCTTGGAAATCTCTTCGAGCTATAAAAAATGAGTTCAATGTTCAAGTAACCAAGTTGCTTTTCCCCCTCCTCCTTCTTGGGGACCTCTCCTGTCTCGCCACCTCAATGTGTCATCGTCTATCTACGGGGTTCTCTCTCTCTCTCTCTCTCTCTCTCTCTCTCTCTCTCTCTCTCTCTCTCTCTCTCTCTCTCTCTCTCTCCTGTCTCTTATACACATCTAGATGTGTATAAGAGACAGGTGTGTGTGTGTGTGTGTGTGTGTGCGTGCACGAATATGACTTTATTTAGCAGATGTTGATCACTGCTGTTCTTTACAGTATTGAGGGACTCGGAGCTTCAGGTCTCTCACTTGAAAAGCATGTGAGTCGGTGAATGCAGTGAGAAGCCAATGGTGTTGTTTTGGGTTAGGGAACAAAATGGGAAAAGCAGGAAGAAAAAGGAAACTTCAAACTAGTAGTTCAAATGTAGCAAACCGAGCTGTCTGTGTGTTGATGTGTTTTTCAATCCTGTCCAGGCAGAATGACCAGCCAATTTGCAAACTTCTTGTCTCTGACACGTCAGGAGCAGATGGACCTCGGTCTCTATATCTGTTCCAGCGCTGGTTCCCGCTTATCTTCCACATCAAAGGTCAGTCCTTGTTTCTTTGTTTGTTTGTTTGTTTGCTTGTTTGCTTGTTTCTTTGCTTGTTTATTTGTTTGTTTGTTTGTTTGTTTGTTTGTTTGTTTGTTTGTTTTAACTCTGTTCTTTTCCTGAAAATAACCCTGACCCCGGTAAGGGGTAACCCGGTAACCCGGTAACGATATATAACTTCACCATTCCTTCCTACTGGAAGTAATTAAAAAAAGAAAAAAAAGAAAAAAAAAGGATAGGTAGTGTGAGGTATATGAGTGAAGAATATAGCTTAGTATTTTTACAAAAAACGAAAGAGAGAAACAGAAACCTTTTGAGGCACTTTCTCTTTCCATGTAACCTTCTGCTGCTATGTGGGCTGGGTGCAGCACTACTTGTCCTCAGTGTGGCCCTATGTGGGCTGGATGCAGTGGGCACAGTCTTACCATGCAGGCTAGGTGCAGCACCATCTCGGCTCGATGTGGTACTATGGTGGCTATAAGTGATGCTATGTACGTTGGGTGCCAAAAAAAAAAAAAAAAAAAAAAAAAAAAAAAGGTTCACCGCCAAGAAGGGGAAAAGGTTCACTCACTAGATGCCTCCTTCTGACAGTGTTTGTTTGTTATCTCTATGTCTTGGCAGTGTTTGTTTGTTATCTCTACGTCTTGGCAGTGTCTGCTCTCCTCGTTCAAATTGCTTTCCCTCTCTATCTTTTCAAAGTTGAAAACTCGAAACAGACGACAACCTCAAATATATATATTGCGTCCCAGATCTGTTTTTTTAACTTTTTTTTCTTTGGGGTTGAAGTGCGGACCATGACGGGCTTCCTGCCTACCAACAATCTGCCATGAGGGGCAAACCCCAAATAAGCGGAAATTTCGGGGGCCTTGTCAGGGTTTAGGTTTCCAGCAGACAACAGACACTGCTGCAGGCGGAAAAGAATAGGGAAAATTTTCAAAATGCCCCCGAAATTTCCGCTTATTTGCAGTTTGCCCCTCTGACGGCCGACTTACCCTGATTTGCCCCTCTGACAACGATTCAAGTTTCCAAAAAAAACCTGGCGTCATTTGGGCCTGAAATATGTTCAATATGACCCTACTGGTACCGGTTCCAAATTTCCAGTATGCCCATACCGGATAACCGTTGAGTACCAGCACAATAGTTTTCCATATGCCCCTACCGGATAGCCGTTGAGTACCAGCACAAGAAGTTTCCATATGCCCAGACCGGTACAGTGCATCTTTTCAGTATGCCTCTGTGGCCATTGCTGGCAGTCACAGCCGTTGCCCACGGTCCCATCGTTCTGCTGCCCCCTCCATTGTTTTCCATGGACTTGGGCCTCCGTGGCTGGGCATTTGAGGCCTGTGCAGCCTCCCTGTCATGCACATCGTTGTTCTGCTCTCTCTCTCTCTCTCTCTCTCTCTCTCTCTCTCTCTCTCTCTCTCTCTCTCTCTCTCT